GGATCCATAGAGGCGGAGGACTGGTTAATGAGGATTGAGAAGATATTAGAAGGAATGCTATGCCCTCAAGATAGAAGGGTTACCTTAGCTACCTATGCCTTCAATGGGGAAGCAGAGAGATGGTGGAGGAGTCAATTAGAAGAGACTTTTTGAGGAAGACCTAGCAGCCAAGTGACCTGGGAGGAGTTTGTGAAAGAGGGTACAACACAGCCAGTATTATTCACAAATGGATCACTAAGATTACAATGAAAATAAAGGGAAGAATGAAGACCCAAAATGCCCTCATAGACACCCCCCGAAGGGGTGCGATGGGTTGAATCCCTCTAATTCACCTCCCGGATATAGATAGATTCTTCTATCTAATCTATCTATAGGAATCGAGAGATAGCGAATGGTTCAAAGAAGCGGTACGATTCCTAACCGATTTTTTGAACTGATTCAATTCTTCTCTTCCCCTTTTTTAGTCAACACCATCAACCTTGGGCAAAGCCAAAAAGATGATGAATAGAAGGAGATCAGAAAGATACGCGAACGACTTTACATCGGATGTTTCCATGAGCAGTAAGCTGCGGATCTCCCCTTTTTGGGGGGGAAAGCTGGTAGCCCTTTTGGCGTGTTCATTCTTTCGACGGGGCGGCCTGATTCGTTCGGTTGATCCAGTCGAGGTGGTTTTCGTTTACCAGCGCGTAGGTGGTCTAAGTTCCTATGATCAAGTATTTATGTCCCCTGTGAACATCTTTTCTGAAAGTCTTAAAGATGGCCTCTCTCACCGGTGAAAAGTGGTAGGTGTCCACTAACGGCTATTCCTGGCTCGGCTCTGATAACGCAATTCCGGGAGGATTCAGTAGTTGGGCATTGGATCCCTTTGGACCTGGAGAACGTGTGATGCTGGGTCGGGGTTTGGTGAACCAACAGGTCGCTCCTCTAGTTGAAGTGTGTTTAGAGATTGGTATGTACCAATGTTTGCTAGGAGGTAGATGCAAGATAAATTCAATAGATTGGTGCAAGGTGATAAAACTATTACTGAGTATGAGGTCGAGTTCACTAGACTTTTCAGGTATGCCTCACATATGATACCCAATGCAGAAGAGAAATGTCATCGTTTCTTATTTGGTTTGAAGGATGTTTTTAGACAACCATTAATCCATTTTGGCATTAAGGATTATGCTACCTTGGTTGAGAGAGAAAGAAGAATTGAGAGTGACTTGCAGAGTACTCAGAGGAGAAGAGATTTTCAAAAAAGGAAGAGTTATGAAGAGGTTATTCAAAGCAATCAGACTGATGGATCAAATGGGAAGAAGTCCAAGATTAGTTCTAGTGGAGGCAGTGGTGCAATTGTAAGTAAACTCACTGAATCTTGTGCTAAGTGTGGAAAATTACATAAAGGTGAATGTTTGATTGGTTCCAACACTTGCTATTGGTGTCATCAGCTTGGACACATAGCAAAATATTGTCCTGTTTTGGCTCAAAAGACTTCAGGAGAAATGAGATCAGTTGAAGCACCTTTACAGAGGAACTTTAGCAAACAATAGATGATAGAACCTTCAGCTGCAGGTTCAGTGCAAAAATAATCTATGCAAAATGTCAGACCACGAGTTTACACTTTGACTCAGCAATAGTCCAATGAATCTGTAGATGCTGACAATGACAATTGAGATGGCTTTATAATTTATTTTTAGTGACTTGTAATGATAAACCTGATGTTTTGGTGTTTTGGATTTAGTACTTTAAATTGTTATGTCATGTCAAATATTTTGGGACTGATCAGATTATTTTGTTATGCTATTTCATATATTTAATATATCATGTTTCAATGTTGAGGTTTATGTTAATGAAATGGAAGCTGATGGTTTATTTTGTAATTAGAAGTTGAGTAAATTTTGGGGACAAAATTTTTGTAAGGAGGGGAGAATTGTAAAACCTGAAAAATATCATTTTAGACCTCGCACGCTTTGCGATGCATCGCGACGAGTTTTAAGTGAAAATTTCAAAGTTGTCGGATTTCGACAAGAATAATTTTATAAAATTGTGCGCAAAATTCTGATCAATTTGATATATGAAACTTGTATCCAATTTCACTTAAATTAAGAGATATAATTTTTAGAAGTTTAAAAATGCCCAAACTACCCCTAATCATATCTAATGACGGGATTGTTGAAGTGAGGGTATTGTGGTCTTTTGTATTTTCCCTAAATGAGCAAACCGCCCCCTCCCACTCTCATTTCTTTCGGCCAAACCGTAAGGGAGCGGACGGACCGAGGGCGGACGGACCGAGCGGAGGAGGCACATGGACGGGCGGCTCCAGCGACAATTTTCCAACGAGAAAATTTGAGGAAAACATAGAGGAGGATAAGGGAAGTCAAATGTTCATTAGAATCTAATTTTAAGATATTTGGAAAGGAAGATTCTAGGGTTTGTTTTTCTTTCAAATTCCTTCACAAAAGTGTTTCCTAATGGTTTTTGGAAAATAATTATGGAATTTAATTTAAGTTTTATAAGAAAAATTTATAAATTTAAAATTAGGGGTTTTCCCTAAAATTGATTTTTTTAAAGTGCTTTTACAAATAAGATTCCTAAGAATCCTAAGAGGGGTTTTAAGGGTATAAATTGAGTTTTCTTACAAAATCTTATTTTTCCTAATTTTTAATTATTTTAAATCCGAAAATATAAATTATTTTAAATTAATTTAGTTTATGAAAAAAGGATATTTTGATTAAAATTTGTAATTATATAAAATTATGAATTTTAAGAACATGTTTTGCTTTATGTTATCTTTTGAACTTTGGAGAGAGGGAGAGGGAGAGAAAGAACATAGGGTAAATTAGGAAAAGAATGAGAACATTAATTTAGATTTATTATAAATGATTTTGAAGGAGAAATTAACTCTTTTAGGTGTTTTGAAGAAACCTCGAAGGAAGAAAGATTACCGAGGAGAATCAAATTCCTAATTTCTGTAAGTATACATGATTCTTTTTTACGTCAATATTTTTATTTCTCTCCAATTTTATGTTTTGAAAGTCCAAGCATGATTATGAAAATTTTATGGTCATTTTAGACCATGATTATGTTATTTCATTCTATGATTGATCAAACAACTTTTATTTTATATATCATGGTATTATATTATACGTTTATATATTATATGAAATAAGATGAAATGAGATGATATGAATATGAAATATTTGTTATATTGAATGCTTGTATGTGCATGCTGAAATGATGGAGCTCATCCCCTGATGATACTAGCTGGGGACGCTGTACTCGTGCACGTTAAAATGGTAAAGGATATAGAAAAGGAAAATGGTAAAGGAGTACCTTTATGATACAGACGGTGGCTCCTGTGACGGTTGTAATATATATGAAAAGATAAAGTTATGAATAATGATATGAATATGAAAATAAAATGAAAAATATGACTTTATGATATGATATGTTTAATGTTATGTTAGTATGAAATCATTTTATGTTATGTTCATATGAAATTGGCCTTTAGCATATTGTTTAATTTGCCTTGATTACTGTAATTTAGAATTGTGTTTTACTTACTGAGCTTCGGCTTAATGTTAGTTGTTAACATTTTTCAGGTAAATTTAAGTAAATCAAAATGAGTAGAAGAGACGGTAACGTATACCATAGGAGAGGAGCTCAAGAAGAAAGATAATTATGAATTTATTTGAGTTTTATGTTAATGAATTTTCAAATTTGATGTTTTAGAGGCTCTTTCAAATTATTATGGAGATATATTTAAATATTAGATAATTTAACCTACCGTCCGACCATCCGTTCCCACCTCGCCTACGTGAGCTCATCGGGCCAGGTCATGACATAATTTAATGCCATTTGGTTCGTTTTTTCGTGACACTCAATTTAACTATAAGTTTGCTAAAATTGAAGTTTGGATGGTCCCACATTTAATTCTGGAAGCTTTCAATTCAATTTTGTCTCAAGAATGATGCCCGATCAAGATAAATTTGTTATGATATATCAATATGATTATGACAGTCTTTATCGATGCTTTGATTTTATTGTTTTATAAAATTTTTGACTAATTAACAGTACTAATACGATGATTGCTTTACCGATTCAACACCCCTTTTTATTCGGCATTGTCTTTTTTATGCGGATCTAATCTTAATTCTATCTATTCGAATTGTATTTGTTTTGTAGCTTTATTTGTTCTTCAATTATTTTAATTAAATTTTAAAGTGAATGAATCCGGCGCTGCCCTTAATTTTCCAATATATATATAGGAGATGTATAACTACTCTCTTTGGATCTGATTGGTGACATATGGACAATAATTCGTTCGACTTTCACCAGCCATAATGATTCAAATTCATCACCGCTAACTCTGGCGGCAATGAACTCATCTATAAAAAAAATCGAGAGCTCAGCACGCATTGGTCATCATTACAACAACCAAATTTAACTGCTTTGCAGCCTAGAGAGTTCGATGAGCAACCAATGAAGTCAACATTTGTTGATTCAAAAAGAAGAGTGAGGCGATCTGCTCTCGTGTCAATCATCACAAAAAGAATCCAAGACACATCATGCTGCGATCTGGTCTCGAGTCACAAATCAACACGTCCAATCAATTATGGCATACTATGACAAGTCAAAGATAAACGCATGTCCAGCCTATTAGACAGGTCCCATTGGTGTACAAAATAGCCTGTAGAATCTTCCTCTTTATGCAAAAGAGAATGAATCGATGGCTAATAATTACCTAACCAGTTGTAAATCTGGGTCTTTGGGAAAACTATTAGGTCTGATCATCTTAGAGAGAGATACATTCGGATTTCTCTCTGTCTACAGTAAAAATGCAGCTGCTACAGTAACTGTGCTTTGACTGCGCTTCACTATAGATAGAGAGAAATCCGGATGTATTTATCTGACAGATGACCGAACCTAATAATTTTCCCTTTTTGGATTGTTTTTCTATTCATCCCACGTCCAAGGGACTGACATGACATGCGACCAAAGTCTCTTTAAAAGAGAGAAAAAAAAAAAGCAAGAATTGCTCACATCTTCCTCTTTATCATCTTCTCTGTTGAAAGCAAATCCTACCTTTGATCCCTATCCGGCTCAAGAATGCAAATATGTGGTGTTTTAAGGTTGCTTACAAGTTGCTCTACAAGAGATTTCTATTTATTGAAAACAATGCAGCACTACTTTATTTAAATTATTTTACAAATCATAATGGACTAACTCTATTTAGATTTCAGCTAAAAGGGGAGATTAGCTTACCCATTTAAGTTACTTGTATGATTTTGTACAGATATGTACGATGAGCCTTTATATTCATAATGCCTTCTGATCTAACCTTTCGTTCCAATTCAGGCATCGAACCAAACTGTGGAACCAATCACCCGTCTGATCACATTTATTGACCGTTGGGAGTGGGTGTTCGCTCATACAAATGCGAACAGAATCTCCTCTAGAGAGCTGCTGCCTTCTTTTCCCATCAAATGACACCCATGCATTACTCCGGGCATCCATTGGAATCTGGTGATCTCAACCGTTAAGGAAATTTTAATCAACGCAAAACGATTTTTAAGTGTTCTGATACTGGAAATGATCAAGTTTTCAAATAAACAGCCAAGGATCACGTAGATGATTTACAATGTTAATAAACCTCATAGCTAGATCTGTCTTGCCGAATGCTAATTCCAATTGTTATAAACGCAGCGATTTCTTGAAGCAGTTTTTTAGTATAAAAATTTTAATTTTTATACGAAAAATCTGCTTCAAGAAGCAATAAAAAAGCCGTTTCAAACGAAATCTTAATTCAATAACTTCATGAAAGTACTCAAAGGGAAGAAACACAAACATAATTCAATTACTTGATGAAAGTACTCAAAGATGAGACTAACCTTCAACTCAAGTTGAGCAGAATCAGGAAGTATGACAGGTCTAAATGAAAGTGAATGCGGACATATTGGCGTAAACAGCATGCAAGGAACATTTGGGTGGACCTGCATTTTATTGCAGTTTAAGTTAGAAAGCATTTACTGCAAGGGGAAAACACACTACAAATTAATTTGAGACAACCTTTAGATAGTGCAAGGGATAGTAAACAAACTCAACGGGGAACGGTCCCTTGCACCAGGACAATATAAGGTACCAGCATTGCTCTATATGCTCGTACTGCTAGCAGAGACCGACAAAGCCAAAAAGCAGTGTGGGTGCAATTTAATAAAAAAGGATATATTGTGCAGCATGCAATTTACAGACTGCTGCATAAGCTGGGTCATTAAATCATTTAAAACACTATGTCACATAACTTTTGAAAGCCAAAGCAGATCCCAAAGGAAACAGTTTCTTAAGCTCTCTGATAGCATAACAAAAATTTCATCTTTAGGGCCTAAATCCAGCAAAAAAAAATCATTATCATCATAACCTTACCCCAACTATTTGGAACCAACTTTATGGATCCAGCAATTAAGAATAAGCAGATACAGAATTTAATATACTATCAACAGTTTTACTGTTATGGCGTGTCTGTTTTTCCTATTTGATTGCAAGATCAAGATAATGATGATGCTTATTATAAATAGGCACAGCCTCTGTTCTATTAAGTACGCAAAGATTCTTTGTTAGAAAGTAGACTAAAGACAAAACAACGTTATTGTTATGCATATTACAGTTTGCTAACAAGATACTCCCATCACTTAGTAAGGATTACATTTAGGCTGGAATTATGCATTCGTCCTTCAACATTTTTTCCACTTAAGGACAGCCATTTGTGCCAATTTAATCAGCAAAACAATCCAGCAAGCTCCCAACATATAAGGTTAAATATGTCCCTATTCCATTTTGATGCCTCATTAGATTATTCGCCTTGCCTTATCCTGTTAGTTTCTGTATTATGTAGCCAAAAATATTGTTGACCTACTGCATCTAAAACAAAAAAAAAAAAGAAAATGTCGTACCTGCCCGCACGTCGTCGCCGCTCGAATCGACATCCCACACACGTCGACGTCGTTTCATCGCACGATCCCTCTGTCTTGTTAAAACCCGAAGAAATAAGAGCTCCCGCTCTCTCGCTCTAGCTCTTTCTCTCATCCCGACATCTCTCTCACTCTCGCTCTCGCTCTTTTCTCCCTGTGCGAATCAGAAGTTACGACATTAGGATCGGAAGTAACGACTGGAGCTCGCCTCTCCTTCGGCTCCATTACTGCCGTTCGACTTCGCTCATTCGACGCTATTTCCTTCCTGTTGGAGCGGAAGTTCCAACATTTTGATCGGAAAAACCAACGGGAGCTCGCTGGCTGGAACTCGCTTGCTGGGAAGGTAACTTTCTCCCTTCCAGCGGCTTCTTCGGCTCCTTTTGGCTGTTCGACGTCGCTCCTCAACGACTTTCCCTTCCCTGCTGGATCGGAAGTCGCATTTTGATCGGAAGCACAAACAGGAGTTCGCTTGCGGTGAAGATAACTTTCTCCCCTTTGCGTTGCTTCTCCGGATCCTCCTTTGCTGTTCAACTTCGCTCCTTCAACGACCTGCCTTTACAGTCGGATCGAAAGTTGCGTCATTTTGATCGGACGAAACAGAGGAGCTCGCCGACTGTGAAATTAACTTTCTGCCTTTCGCCGCTTCTTCGGCTTCCCTGTTGCTGCTCGACTTCGTCCCCTCGACGGCATTCCTCTTCTGTTGGATCGAAAGTTGAGACATTTTGATCGGAAGCAGGGAGGAGAGCTCGGTTGTGAAGGTAACTTTCTCCTTCTCACGCGCCTCTCGGCCGAATCCCGTAAATTCCCCAAACAGAGAGAGTTGGGAGAGAGAGGTATAATTTGTTTTAATTAATTGTTTTTAATTGTAATTATTTTAATTAATCTTAATTAATTACAGTTATTTATTTTTAATTAATTATAATTATTATAATTAATTATGTTTAATTTTAATTAAATTTATTATAATTAATTTAATTAATTATAATAAATTCTAATTAGAATTAATTTTAATTAATTATAAATTATAAAATTAATTATCATTAATTAATTTTAATTAATTATTACTTATTAAAAGTTAATTACTATTAATTAATTATAATTAATTATAAATTAATTATAATTAATGATTTTAATTAATTTTAATAAACTTTAATTAATTATATTAATTAAGTATAATTAATTACAATTAATTAAAAATAATTTCTTGATTAATTTTAATTAATTAATATTAATTATAATTAATTTACAAAAATGCTTCCTCTCTTTGGTTTTTCGTCCCGACTCTCATGACACTATACTCGATCCTCGGTCCACGAGCCACACCGACTTCAAGGTAAAATTTCTAACTTAAACCCGTTCTCGACGTTGCAGCGGACCGGGGAACCACCTTAGCGCTCTTGTAGCACGGTAGGAGGGAGCCGGTGCGAGCGCATACGACGAGACGGGTAAGCCCTATACACGCTCTTGTAGCGTGGTGGGACGGTCCTCGACCTCGACACCGACAGCGGAGACTGCTACGCAAGGGTATGATGTGTCCAAAATCCCATCTCGACGTTTGCAGCGGACCGGAGAACCACCTATACGCGCTCTTGTAGACTGGTGAGGAGGGAGCCCGGTGCGATGCATAGAACGACGAGTGGGAGAAGCCCTATACACGCTCTTGTAGCGTGTGGGGAGTCACTGTTTGGTGTCACTTGTTTCACTGTACGGGTACTGCTGAAGGCCCTATACACGCTCTTGTAGCGTGGTGGGATGAAAATTTTTT